AGTTGGAAGTTAAAACTTACACTGACATTTTTTTTTCCTGAGGTAAATTTCTAAAACTGCTTAAATGAGTGATTAAAAAGTTAATGAGTTTTAAACTGATTCCCCAGGCTTCCCTTAAGAGTACTGGAGTTTTACGAGATCAATATATCAAGGCGCTGTGGGAGGATTATATCCATGAAAAAAATAAATAAATAAAAATAAAACTTTAAAAGTTGATGATAATAGTAATAGAAAGTGAAGATGAAAACTACTCACACATAACAGATAAGGTCTTTAGAAAATGTTTGAAAAGGCCATGCATGTATCGATTCTAAGTACTGTATAGACGGAACTGGTTTTTATCGATTGCTATTCAACGGGGAAGTGATTGTCACAAATTACGAGAACATCAAATAATTCTAACTGCCGTGATTAATAAACTTCGTGACAGAGGCATTAAAGAAATTGTAGTCTCCGAAAATTTGTTGTCTCCAAGAAAACCAAGTAAAATATCGGCGTCTGGAGTTTTCACTTTAAATATTGTTATTATTCTAGAAATTATTCGGATAGCTTTTTAACCGATGTGTTCCTTGGCCTTCCCCCGTTTTTTTTTTCTTATCCGATGTTTTCTAGTTAAGGGCTAATTTAGATTTCTGTAAAAGAATGCTGGCGATCACACCGGTCAAAACGTAAGCAAAATATAAGAAAAAATTAAAAAAAAAACATAAACAAGATGCGAATACGAATCCAATTAATAAAATAATTTAAATTTTGGATCCTGACAATATAAGATTTTATAAGACAACTGAACTGCCAAATGTAAATTATCATGAGGATAAGATACGCGAGTTCAAATCATGGTGATGGCTGTGGTAACTATAAAATGTGCATATAGAAAAGGTGATTGAAAAGTAACTCCCCATTTTAAAATACTTATTTATTTATTTATAATTGTTACAAGAAATGGCTATGAGAGGAAGGCGTTTTAGCCTGAGGTTTTATTTAAAATTTGATATGGACATCAGATTTCGCTACCAGATTCTCGAATCGCCCAGGAATCACGTCAACTGATTTCACCAGGAACTCTTGTGGTATGGAAGACATAACTTCTTGTATTAGCCCATCAAGTTCTTCCAAAGTCTTGGTTTTCTATAGTAGACTTGGTTCTTTAAACCAACCTCAAAGGAAAAGCCATAGGGTGTTGTTAAATCAGGACTTCTCACTCGTACATGAAACAGAGAGTTTAGTTTTAGTTTTCAATCACCCTGTGTATACTATTTACTAACGTTTGCCCTATGCAAGGCAAAAGAGCCACTCAAGGTAGGTCACTGAACGAGTTTATTATAAGCAGAAAGAGTAACAGGTAAGGGGTGTAGTTTATGAGAGGAGACTTAACGGCTAAAGCTAGACTTGAAAAGGTCAAGATTCTAGTGATCAAGGACGTATCCTCTAGGGAGTCAGTTCCACAGAGTAGTTATTCGATGGAAGAAAATGTTCGAGAGAAACTTACTTGTCACTAATGACTAATTAGGGTGATTCTCCTCAGTGTACGCGACGTAATGGCTCTTCTAAACTGTAAGGGTTAGAATTGGTGGGACTGATTAATGAGGCTCGCCTGAACAGTTTCCATCGAAATAGCGATAGAAAGGGGAGGGGCTTACAGCTCTTCGTCTGTGGGATAAGCGTTATAGTACGGGAAATAATTCATCACCCAAAAGGCCGCGTAAACGCTTTTGAACGTTATCAAGACTGGAAAGTTAAATATGGGCAGCTCCAGCCGCTTAGGTACAAGGGGTTACTAGTTGTGGATGCAATAGAAAAGAGAAACATTGTTGGGGGGGGGAGAACAATAGAAGAGTACCCAGGGAAACAGCAGGTAGCCATTGACATTGCATTTAAATTTTTGAAGATTAAAGTTGACTGGAAGACATGAAGCCGGAAGAGAGTTCCACAGGCGAAAAGTGCGAGAAAAGAAACTGTTAGCATAGAAGGTAAGGTTGCATCTAGCCAACGCGACTGTAAATTGAGGAGATGTTGTGCAGAATTCTGTTTTTGGACTTATCAACCGCTTGTAAAGTTAAATCATAGTCGGAGCTGTTAGGTTTTTACTGGAGCAGTACAGGAAACCAACAATTTTTTTCCCAGTATCTTTAGCGATGGGTCGTATATACGAGTTCGATTTGAAGTCTGAGGTGAGCTGAAGTCCCAATAGGCAAGGGGCCCCCTTGCGATAATACCCGCTCTATTGCGATAATTCATTTGATTCTCAAAGTTTTAATAATGAATAATAACCGCTCGTGCGCGTTTGTTTTGGTAAATTTAGATATACGATGTTAGTTTCAAACTATTATATTTTATCGCCTCAGGGCAGTAAAGATTGGGTTGTCACAGAGTAGGGAGTTCGATCCTCTTTAGGTGTTCCCTAGATTTTTACCTTTTGCTAAAATTAAACCTAATTTAGTAAGCAGTTATAAGAATTATTATTATTATTATTATCATCATCATCATTCGATTTCTGCTATGGACACACTACCTACCAAGTCTGCGGAAAGACCTAAGGCAGGTCGTGGTGTGTTGTTATGGCCACATTTCATTTTTTTTTTTTTTTTTTTTTTTTATCTCCGATGAAGTTGCTAGCGTTACATAGACAAAGTTCTCCTTAGTGTGTGTGCTGTACTTAATAAGACAATTTTCTGTATGTCTCTTAAGCTGGGGTTTCAGGGATTCTTTCAATGTGTTGTTTTGTTCCATTTTTATAATTCCAAGTGCACCTATTACCACTGGTATTATTCTTGTTTTCAATTTCCACATTTTTTCTATTTCAATTTCCAGGTCTTTGTATTTTGATAGTTTTTCAAATTCCTTGGTTGCTATGTTACAATCCGCTGGACAAGCCATATCAATTAGTAGGCAAGTTTTTTCTTTCTGGTTTTTGACAATGATGTCCGGCCTATTTGCTTCAATTTTTCTGTCTGTGTGGATGGTATAATCCCATAGAATGGTGACATTATTATTATTATTATTATTATTACTATAATAATAATAATTATTATTATCATTATTATAATATATTTAAAATGCCACTTTTCAAAAAATTTTAGTTGGGTCGTATTCATTTGTGAGCTCAATTCGTGTAAAATGTTACGCAAGGTCGAGTTTACAGTGGGGCCTACTCGTACTATGGATCAGAAATTGTAACAAAGCGATTACCCACGATGAGGTACCTACCAAATAACTCTTAGTTATTTGCTATATGTAAGAAAGGCTTGCCCCCACCCAAGGAAAGTTTATACATAAAAATGAAATTAAGTATTATTCTGTTGTTTTTAGGTTTTTTTAGTATTTATGGTCACCATTATTTTTTTTTAATCTAATAGTTTTCAATTTGAGCATTTTGACATGGTTTAAATGGTTACAAACTTGTCTCGTAAGATCGATTACGACTGAGTATTCAAGGCGATTCTCACTGGGTGCGCTATACTTTTGGCCTTGTGCCATATGCTATAATTAGTAAATCACAATTACGGTTCTCACTGTTGGGAACTTATTTTCAGCCTTGAGGTCATGTCTTTTTTTTTTTTGCTCGTATAAAGAACATCTGATCTTGCAATAGAGCCTCTCAACCGCCCCTGCGATAAATGCCAGCAATTTTTAGTGTCTAGGTTGGAATATTTGCCCAAATTGCTATCATTTTATCTTAAATTCTCCTTAAGTTCTATATACCATCAATATGTGATAATGACCCTCTTTTCTTTAATATATGTAAACTGAACATTACCAGTATTGCTTTTGGAAAAAAAAAAAAAAACTAGTGAAAATGATTTCCTGTTATTTTTTTTTTTTTTATTCAAAATCATAGTTTTGAAATCTGTTGCCTTCCTCCCGTTTGCAAGGCTAGAGATACCCGTCTGCTATACTATTTTACTTATAGTTGGGCCTACTATATATTATATATATATATATATATATACATATAAAACTAGGATAAAAAAAGGATCTCCCAATCAATATGTGTGTTATTCTATCGCAGATAATATAGCAACTGTTTTTTTTTTTTAAGAATAGCGACTCGGATTGAGGAATCGGAGAGCCGAGTTCGAATTCCAGTCGAAGCCATTACATTCACTTACGTGCTAATACCTTTGAGAAAGGCATGAGTCCTTTTCTTTTCTCCCCAGCTCTGAGTAAATAGCAGGACAGACTGGGTTCTATAGCATTGGATGGCAACTGGTCTACCACAGAAAGTAATGGCAACCTCAGTCATGAATCGAACGATACATGATCGCCTAAGCAAGCATGTATCACGCATGGCACATGACTGACTGATTGAATAGTGTCAGCGTGTGGGATCATCGTCAATATAAAAGTAATATTTTTTCAATGGGGATATGCATTTGGTTGGAAGAGCACGAAGACAGACAGGTACAGTTGAAGTATAAAAAAATGGAAGAAGTAAGAAAAATCTTCGATCAGGTACTTATTGAATAATTCCATTGTATTTGTGATGTAATTCTGTATCCAAAGAGAAAGAAAAATCAAAAAAATAAGCCTACAGGCAAATTGAGGAGTGGAAGAAATTTTGTCAGAGGAAGAGAAATTAATTTTAGCAGAGGGTAAAGATCTGTACAAGCACCGTTAATCGTGAGAGAGTGAGGGGGTGAGATATTTACTTTGTTTTGAGAAGGATATGAATTAGCCTTTTCGATTGGAAGTCTACATACATTGACATCAAGGTTCTTTGCTAATATACAACTTCAAGTTTATTTTTTTTTTTAAATAAACGAAAAAGCACACACACAAAAATATATCGGCCTATATGACAAGTGATTCCGTTGGAGAAAATTAATCTATACGAAAATTTAAATGTTTTTGTGTTTGTTTACACAAATCATTAACCAATATCTGAATAGGTCAGCAGTCTTTGGTTTACTGATATTGCATTTTAAGCAAAACACACAGAGGAAGAAAGAAGGAGAGGGCCAGGTAGAGAGAAAGGTATAAGGAGATAGTTTGGGACATACAGAGCGTGAGAGAGATAGAGAGACATACAGAGAGAGAGAGAGAGAGAGAGAGAGAGAGAGAGACATACAGAGAGAGAGATGCCTGTGTTTACCGTGTACGTGTTTTTAGGTTTTTGTACTTAGTAATACTACTAATAATAATGATAATAATAATAATGTGATAATGATACTGATCTATACAGTGTAACCCGGATATAAAAGAGTTGTCGGGACCGGAGAGGAAGTCTCTTATATCCGGGTTTGGTCTATTTTATATACATTAACACAGGCTCTAATTTGGGACCAGAGAAAATCTCTCTTATATCCGGGTTACTCTTATATCAGGGTCTCTTATATCCGGGTTACACTGTATATATGTATATAATTCAATGCATGTCGAGGCCAGCAGATTTTATGACAATAATGTGTCCATTGTGTATCTAGAGCAATTATAAAATATTAAAAAAAATACTGAAAGATCACGATAGTTATCGACGGTCGACTCAGAGTTCTGCAATTTTTCCCTTTACAGGACCCAGATAAGAATTATTATTGTATACACAAGGCACAAGTTTTAAAAAAAAAAAAATAATAATGATATTTTATAGTTTGGCCTAACCTTTGTCGGCTTTGACTTTGAGCATCTGAATATTACACGGCATAAATCTAACCTGAAATTGAAAATAAGCTGTAAAGGGTTTTTTTTTTTTTTTTTTTTTTTAATAAAATTGCGGATTAGGATCCAGGAGTCATTTTTTTTTTTTAAATCGTCATTTCTGGTGTAAAAAAACGTCTGCTTATTCCAAAAATATCATTAAAAATTTGTGGAAACTTACCGTTTAGGAGATATTGACAATCTTAACTAGGTTTTATTTGTATCTTTCATGACATTCACAAATGAAGGAAAATGTTTTTAGAAATTTTTTTTTAGAAAAACTTTTTTATATATGCTCCCTCACATTTTCACCAGGCTTTTTTTAAAAACAGGATTTTTTTAAAAAACAGGATTTTTTTTTAATTATCCAGTAAATGGATAAACTTTCGTGCAGTAATCTAGTCACGTAATGGCGCCCAATCTATACCAGGGGCCCAACTAAGATTGTGGTAGATTTACGAACATTTTTAATGCTATTTTTGGAATAATCAGGTTTTTTTTTCACCAGGAATGATACTTTCTATTTAAATTAGTTTCTGTGTCCTAATATGCAATTTTACCTTTTGTTTTTACGTGTTATTTAGAATTACAAAAAATACAAGCTTACCTGAGTTTTTCCGACAGCCACACGCGTAGAGTCGATTCTTTCCACGGCACAAATTTCAATGCTGATTATAGTAAATCCCAAATCTCTGTCCAACGAATCGTTTGTGGTCAGCTGACCAGAATCCTTATCCAAAGAAAAATACATCGTCATCAGAGCACCGTTGGGGTTTTCCTTTCTGTTGGTGCTAACACGAGTTATGTAATACTCCAAAATGGCTCCAGGATTCTCAGGTTGGGCTTGAACCTTGAGAACTTCAGTTCCGATCCGAACTTCCTCCGAAAGGGATTTCGAATATACGGCTTTTGTAAATCTCGGTCCTCTGGAGAAGTCCGTCGACGCGATGACCGTCACCTTTGTAGTGGTCGCCTTACGTCCATACCGGTCAGCAAAACCAGCATCGGAAACTCGGATGTTTAAGGTCAGTATCGGTTTTTCTGCTGGTAGACTCGCCCTTAGTTTCAATATTCCTGATGAGCTCGACATTTGGAAAGAATCGATGTCGCCGGAGAGGAGTCTATAAGAGATGTCTCCGTTTTCACCGGAATCTAAGTCTATTGCCTCCACGCGACCAACTTCCGTCCCGACCACTGAATTGGCCGGAATCACAAAAGTGTCGGGCGATACAATTTTCGGGGCGTTGTCATTGACGTCCCGGATCACGATCTTGACCGTTTTCTCCGAAGATCTCTGAGCCGAGGTCGGATTGGCGTTGTCGGTGGCCACCACGATGAGGCTAAAATATCGCGTCTCCTCCCGATCCACCTCTTTGTTGACAAGGATGTCTCCTGAGTTGACAATCCTAAAGTGGATTCCGGGTGGAGATTGTGAGGCGATCCGATAGCGGACCTCTCCATTTATACCGGTGTCTGGATCTTCGGCTTGCACGGTGCCTATAACCGTGGAAATCGGGGTGCCTTCATTAATTGTGAAGGTCACCGGTTCCTCTGGGAATGTTGGGCTGTTGTCGTTGTCGTCATGTACATAGACGATGAACCTTTGGTAAGCGACGAGATGCGGAACTCCGTAGTCGGATACAGAAATGTTTAGGTGATAAACTTTTTGCACTTCGTAGTCCAGTTTCTGCATCAAATATATTTTACCTGACTTACCGTCAACGTGAAAGGTGCCGTTGATGTTACCGTCCACAATGGAGAACGTCAGGAGGGCATTGTTTCCAAGATCCTCATCGCTGGCATGGAATTGCGAAATCAAAGAACCGGGAATCACAGTTTCCATCAGTTCGATAGACATTGGAGGGGAAAGGAAAGCCGGAGAGTTGTCGTTGGAATCAAGTACCCTTATTAATACTTCTGCAGAAGAATTTAGCTGGACGTCCTTGCCGGCGTCGTACGCCAGTATTTTCAGTTTGTAATGGTCGATCTGTTCTCGATCCAGGGTTGACATCAAGATGATTTGCCCAGTCGCACTGTTTATAGAAAACATATCCCCAATGTTACCGCCGACAATAGTGTACGTAACAAATTGATTCTCGTTTGTGTCGGCATCGGTAGCGCTGACCTTGGTGACGGATGTGTTGACCGCAGCGTTCTCGGAGATCGCGGCCTTGTACAAAGGTTTGGTGAATTGAGGAGCATTGTCGTTATCGTCTTTCACGATTACTTTCACTTTTGTTTGACTTTGTAACGGCACAATTCCGTTATCCTTAACTAAAACCTCAAACGTGTAGTAATCGTTTCCAGTTTTTATCATTTCTTCACGGTCGAAAGATTTCCGGGATGTTATCTGACCATTTCTGGAATCGATCGCAAAGTTATCTTCCTCGCCATCAAGGTAATAAAAAAGTTCAGAGTTTCGGCCAATGTCTACATCTGTGGCATGTACTGTTCCTATATATTTCCCGGGTGCCTCGTTCTCTTTGATGTACATTGTGTAGGATTGGTTGCTAAATACTGGAGCGTTGTCATTAGCATCGAGGATTTGAATGGAAATATTAGCCGAAGAACTTCTTGAAGGTATTCCTTGATCCTCGGCTACAATCGTCAAGTGGTAAAAATCCTTAGTTTCTCGATCCAGCTCTGATGCAATATACAAATTCCCATCAGGGAATATGGAAAATTTGCCATCTTCACTACCACGTATAATTCTATAGCTAATTTCCTTGTTTCTCCCTTCGTCTGCATCGGTGGCGGACAAGAGAAAAAAGCGATCGTTGATCGGTCGGGATTCCTTCAGGGAAATAGAGTTTTTAATGCTAGCAAAAACCGGTGTGTGATCATTGACATCTTGGATGTGAAGTCTCACCGTTTGAGAAGAGGATAACTGTGGCGTTCCGGAGTCGACAGCGATGACGGTTAGTTCGTAAAGCTTTTTCGGAAATTTGTCCAGTGGTTGACTCAGGTATATCATTCCCGAGTGTGTGATCATAAACGGATGGGAGGTATTCACCCGAAGCGAATAGGTGACCCTGGCGTTGATACCGTCGTCGAGGTCCACCGCCGAAGCCTGGTAGACCTCTTTTCCGATTGCCCAATTTTCCATTAGGTTTATATCGACGATGCCACTGTCAAACATGGGCCGGTTGTCATTTCTGTCCAGTACCTTAATACGGGCGTCTGCTTCTGCGTACCTGCCGTTGCTGGATGCTAAAATCCGAAGCGTGTAAGAAGACTTGGTTTCTCGATCGATCTTCTTGGCTATTCGGATGTTTCCCCGATAGGGATCAATACTAAAATCCCCGTTTGGATCTCCGTCAATAATAGAAAGTGTTATGTTGGCCGTCGGGTCCTTGATCTGTACTCGTACGTGACCGATTACTCTGCCGATGCTCATGTCCGTATCTTTGTCTTCAGTCACGCTGAAAGAGTAGGGAAGTCCTAAAAAATAAGGAAGCAGGTCGTTCGTGGTGAGAACAGTAATCATCGCGGTCGCAGTGTTCTGGGTTGTCTTCCCGCCTCCATCTTGTCCAGAAATGGTCAGTCTGTAATGGGCCTGGACAGAAGGGTCCAGGCGTCCGACCACTGAAACTAGTCCACTCTCGGGATCAATCCGGAAATTGGCGACATCTCCTCCGGTGAGCTGATAGGTCACTTTCCCGTACTTGTCAGAGTCTCGATCTGTTGCCGTTACCCTTAGAATTGTTTTATTCTCCTCATGATTAGCATATATTTTCGGGTAGTACTTGCTCGGATAAAATACTGGCCTATTGTCGTTGATATCGTTAAGCATTAGGCTAACAGTGGCTGTAGAAGTCAGAGGAGAAATTCCTATATCGTAAGCCAGCACTTTGATTGTGTACACCTCGTTCTCTTCCCGGTCCAGTTGTTTAGCCGTAGTGAGAAGTCCAGAAGTAGTATTTAAATGGAAACAGTTTGGATATATCTCGTTGACGTCCGAGTGTAACTTATATCGCAAGCTTCCATTCAGTCCAAGATCATTGTCTTCCGCCTGAAGCTGGATAATCTTACTTCCGGGCGATAACCCTTCGTCCATTTTAACATCGTACACGTTTTTCTTGAATGTCGGCGGCATGTCATTTATGTCATGCAGGGTCACGTTAAGGGTCGTGTATTCGCTGTAAGGTTGAAAACCGCCATCCTGGGCGGATATATTCAAAATGATCACTGGACTCATTTCGTAATCCAGCCTCGCAACGGTTGTCACGAGCCCGGTTCGGCTGTTGATGTGAAACCAGTCAAGCTCGTTCCCGCTTACAATCTTGTACGTGATCTGGGAGTTCATTCCAAAATCAGAGTCTTTCGCCTTGACCGCTGTGACGAAGCTTCCGACAGGGGTCCTTTCGCTGAGTACAGCAAAATATTTCGGTTGGTCAAACTGCGGCGGATGGTCGTTGATGTCGTTGACGTAAATGACCAGATGGGCCGTGGAACTGAGAGGTGGAGTCCCCATGTCGACCGCCTTGAGGGTCAAGTTGTAGACATGAACCTTTTCGCGGTCAAGATTATCGACTACCTCCAAGACACTCACACTGTGGAGAGTGTTCAGCTTGAAATGCCCTAATTGATTACCGTCGATGATAGCAAGAGACACTTTACCGTTCAATCCGTCATCTAGGTCATTGACCGTAATTATAGTCACGAAGGTCCCGTTTTTGGCGTTTTCATTGACCGTAGAATAATCTTTGCCGCTTTCAGGAAGGTGCTGGAATTTGATAACCGGCGCGTGATCATTCTGGTCTATAATGTGTATATTCAGATAGGCCCGTCCCGTTAGGTGTTCAGGGCCGTTGTCGGTAGCCAACAAAGTAATAAAACAGCTTTTTTCCTTGTTTTGTTGGCATTTCAGTTTTTTCGTTGTGGTGACAACGCCTGTATAAGGGTGAATCTCGAATTGATCAGCATCACGGTTATTTTCCATCGAGTAGGTAATATCCCGATTTCGACCGCGGTCAAGGTCGGAAGCTTCCACCTGGATGACAGTCGTTCCTGGTGGAGCAGTTTCGTTAACATTAGCCTCATAAACACTCATATGAAACGTGGGGTAGTTGTCGTTTATATCGGCTACGGTTATATTCACTGTCAGGTAACCTTTCAGCGCAGGGTTACCATGATCCGTAGCAGAAATATTGAGCTGGTAGAATTCGGTTTCTTCGCGGTTTAATTTCACGATATTCTGGAGATAGAGAATTCTGGGTGTGGCCGGAAAAGGGGGTTCTTGGATGAGAGCGAATTTCGCTTCTTCGTTTCCAGACACGATCGAATAATTCGTAATCAGACTATTCTTGCCTTCATCAGAATCGACAGCCTTCGGTATCGTCTGCTTATTTTTCGCGTCGGATTCTTCTTTGAAGCTTACTGCGTAGCTAGATTTCGGAAATTTCGGATTGTTATCGTTGACATCTTTTACTGTTATCTTCATTTCTATAGGCAGAGAAGGTGGGACAGTGAGGATAACAATATTTATAGCCCGGGTAGGAGTTATGAGGTTTTCCCGGTTTAGCGGTTTGGCTGTTGTAAGGACTCCGGTGTGAGAGTCGAGTTTGAAATACACATGGTCTGGAGAGGAAGCCAAACTACTAACCTGAACTGTAGTGCCTGGTTCAACAGAGATTTTCCCGACTCGTTTACCTATGGGTACGTTTTCTTCAACGTAAAAATGATAAGATTCTCCTAAGCCTTGGTCATTTAGAGTTCCGGGACCCTGGCCTTGAGCGAACGTAACCAGGAATTGTATTAAAGCTATTATTATCACATGGTACATTATCCTATTTGGAAGCGAACGCTTTAAAAGGGACCTTTTCCGGCCTAGCCTTGTAGTCATTTCGATATACTTAGAACAGTTTCTCGTGTACTACTTTTAGGATGACAGCAACAACTACTTGGGTAGTCAAGTTAGGCATACCTGCGTATCACAAATACTTTTTATTATTATTAAAACTCTCCACGGAGCTAGACACATTTAATAATGTCTCTTGTCAGTGTTGTATGAAGTAGAGATATACATTGTAAAAGACAGTAATAATACCATCTTGTTATACATGTATAGAATTTAATAACAAGTAGTGGTTTAAAAAAAATAAAAAGTTACAATGGAAGACGTGAGGGGCTTTTAAATGTTTTGGAATAAAAAGAAATAAAACAAAATAAATAAATAAAAAGCTTGCCTGGCCGGTTAGCTGTTACACACCTGACGTGTAGTAGGTATTTCCACCCCGTTCCAGTAGGTGGTTTAAATCCTCTGGGTAGTGTAAGATAGAAAATCCGTGTCCACCACGCACGGGGGAGAAGTATAGACTTGTTTGTCTATGGTTGTGAGTGATAAATAAATGTTTTTATTTTCCGTAAGTTATGGAACAATTTGAACAACATTTAGTTGTTGTTTTTTTTTTTCTTTTTTTCTTAATCCAGAAGATTTTTTTTTTTTAAATTAAAAAAAAAATGTTATTGTACTCACGGTAATGAAACACAATTAAATAACTTTTAAATCCAGATTGTTGGTATTTTTTACACCCCAAATAAATTTGTGGGTATCCATTATTTGGTAAAAGTGTAAGATATTTTTTTTTTTTTTAACGGTTTAAAGAAACTCCAACGTCGGTAAACACTCCGGTAAAAATCAAAATAAAATGAAAAAAAAAAAAAAAAAGAAAGAAAGAAAGGAAGGGGAAAAAAATAACCCCAGAAAAGTTCGCTTTCTGCACAGGGTACAGATTGGTTTTTAAAAATTAAAGCTGGTGAGTGGGAGAAAAAAAGGTTTAGTTAAACTAATAAACAAAAAAAAAAATGTTCATTAGTTGTTAAATGTGTGTTTTCTTTGTGGGTGGGGAATTGATGCAGGTTCGCTCCATGTCTTTTTTTTTTAACCCTAGCGTGCAATATACAGAGACAAGAGAGGTCTTTCTGTGCTAGTACGTGCGTGTGTATATCTCCACTCTAGCTTTTCTGCTCAATACAAGATCCTAAGACCCGAGCTGACTGGAGAGAGAGGGACAAGAACCATCGTCGTTGTAGCAGCAGCAGCAGTACTTGTAGTAGTAGTAGTGAAAATTAGTTCTAGTAGAGTCGATTATGTAGTATTCAAAACATGAATTTTATGCATGGAGTCTTCGTTCATTTCTCTCTTTCTTCTTGCGTTTTTCCTTATTGTCTTCGTCAATGGCTGTTTTCTGAGAATTATATATAAATATATTAATTATTATTATGATTATGAATATGTAGTTCTATCTTTAAAAAAGTACTTTAACGTTGTTTGTTAACTAAAAGGTAAGTTAACTAAAAAAGGTAATTTGATTTTTGAAAGCTTTTTTTTATTTATCGTTTCTTTAAAATAGTTCCAATTGTTTTTTTTTATAGCATATTTTTTTTTTAAATCTAGTTACAAAGCCTTACTTTATTAATTTAAGAAAATGTTTAATAATTTCAAAGATTAATTCTTATTTTAAAACACAAATAATAAAACAAAATTAATCAACCAATAAACTAAAAAAAAAGTATATAGGTACTAAATAAAAATATAGATCTTTATTTTTTTAAATCTATTTTTACATGTTTTAAGATTTTATATTTGTATCGAAAAGATTCATTTCTTATGAAATATGTCGTGTGTGTGTGTGTGTGGAGGGGGGTTAAACTTTTTTCCGTTTTTTTAGCTTATTTTTCCTAGATCAAAATTCAAAATACATCGCTCTTACCGGCTGAAATTTATTTTATTTTTGCTTTTTAAACAGGGGAAAAACATGTTTAAAAACCTATTGACAACTTTTTTTTTTTACACATCACAGTCCAGTTCGTCGTGCAATTATGCCTGTGTGTTTGTTTCTTTCGAAGCCTTAAAAAAATATTTCAAACGCCAATAATCCGTGACACGTACGATCTCTATCAATAAATCGATCCACTCGTATTTGAGGAAGGGATTTTTATTTATTTTTTTGTTTGTTTGTTTGTTTCAGGTCATACTTTCAATCCGAAGCCTGGGTTCTTAAAACGACCAGGCATCGTGTAAACGCCTGTTCTCCTCACGTCTATCACTTGACAGCCTAGTAAGTGTACTGATGGGAGTGGGGCGGAGCTTAGTACTTATTGTCCCAGCCCTCAGTACTCTGATTGACAAGCAAAGCATAAAGCCCTCGCGTCTGTCTGGTCACAATTGCATTTCTTTCTTTTATTGTTAATAAGGTAAGTACACAAATTATAAATATATATATATATATATATATATATATATATATATATATAATCAATGTGTAATAGAAAAGGACAACAAATATTCCGTATTCATCTCAGGACCGGTCGCTGCACAAAAACAAGAAGTGATTCTTTATATAAAAAACAGGCAAAACTCCTAAAAACAGAAAACGTTTTTATTTACGCTGAACATAAACGGATATTTTTTTTTTTTTAAGTGTGTTTTCCCTACATAGAAGATTGCCGCAATACAGTCTTTCTACTTTGTATTCACCACTTTGCTTACTGGTGCATTTACAGGACGAAGGTAAACTTTAGAAAATTATATCACCACCAACATCTGTCTTCTTTTTTTAAAAATTTGTTTAGGCACCATATTAAATAGTGGTTGGTAGAATTAAACCGAAGGGGTTTAAAACAGAAAATAGTTGTGTTTTTACTTTTATTTTTCAAAACCTCATTTTATTTACCGTTTAAGACATTTTTCTTTCTGTCAAACATTTCTAAATGATTTCTTTAAAAGAAATCAACATACACGTTTATATAGTTTCTATGTCGTAACGCGCGTGCGCACAAACACACACACAAATCATTTCATGTCACACACAATGCGCATTCTTATTTTCTTGTCTTTCTGTCAGTGTCACACACACACATATAAACAGGCAAGGGACATAGTAATTTGTTTCTTTTATTATTATTTAAGTAAGAAGTTACACATAGATCGAAAATTAAACTTCGTTAATCTTCTTCTCTGAGAATAGAATTGTCTGAAAAAAATCGGCATTCAATATCCCGATCTTTTCAAGATTCGAACACCGACTCATGACAGCAGTGAAATATTGTTTTTTGCCAGTCTGTCTGTGTGTCTGTCTATATAATATCTAACGAGCGATACAACTAATCTGCTGTGAGTGAAACTCAAAATATTGACAAAAAACAAAACAAAAAAAAAGCAACGAAAGCTTTCTTTTTTCTTTTTTTGTTAATGAATATTTATTTCAGAAGTTTTATACTGTAAGTGTTTAATGATGACAGTTACATGCTTGTTTTCTAGAGAAACATCTTCCATCTTAAAATTGTCCAATAAGGGTTTTATCCGTACAGGCAGGATTACAGTCATTCTGACCCTCTTGTGTTGTCCAGCGGTTCCTCGGAATCACCAAAACATTTCTAACGTCTCGAAGTCATTCCACCAGAAAATCGAAAACATTATTTGCCCTCTATTAACTTTTTCTTAATTGAGGAAGTCATTTATGGCTTAATTCCATCTGAATTATGTGTCTGTATATGTATGTATATATATATATATATATATATATATATATATATATATATATATATATATATATATATATATATATATATATTTTTTTAAAAGAAAAGAAAAAAGAGGATAGCTGATTTTTTTTTATTAATCCGACAGCTTCGTTATCACTTTTAAAACATTATTTTTAGTGGGTATTTGAGTAGACGCCCCGTTTATCTAAATTTACGGTAGCTCCCTCTGCCCATAGGGACGTAGGTTCGTATCCTGCCGGAGGGCGTAAATTTTTCTTTAACACGATTTCTCGAACATTCAGGCCGGTAGACGAAAATAAATATACTGTTTAATAAATAAAGAAAACGTCTACTCAAATACGAGGGGAAAAATAACGTTTAATAAAGTGATATAAAGTATAATATGTACATTATTCAAGCATGCCTCGACGTAGTGTGTATGGTTAGCAAGCTTGTCTCGATAAAGCAGTTACGACTGGGGAGTGAGTTCGATCCTCACTGGGTACTTCATTCTTTCGGCCTTGGGCCACATCTAAGCAACGCTTAGAAAATCAGTATGTACATTATTCAAACGAGCTGAAAATTTCGTTCAAACATGGTTGTCGGTGTTGATCTCAGTGTCCACTTTTATTACTTCATCATAGTTTTTTTTTTTTTTTATTAGTGGATACCTGTATTTGAAGTAGACGTCCCATTTTAATTCTTAAAATAAATAGTGTGTATTACGTCTATCGACTGGTGTATTCGAGGAATAAGTAAATAGATCTCTTGCATTTTGTTTATTAAAATTTCTTTAATACGCAAACCGAGAGACTTAATACACGCTGTTTAAAAAGTAAAAATAAAAAATGAGCCGTTTATTTCAAATACGAGTATCCATTAACAATAACTTTAGAACTAAGTCGAATTAAAATAAAATCAATTAATTCTTTAGAAATACGTACATAAATATTTATTTAGCAGTGGATTTTTCAATTAATTAATCCGACATTTATTAATTTATTGCTTAAATGTTATTTTTAATGGATGACCCCATATTTGAGGTGATGATCTGTTATTTTTTGTTTTGTTTTGTTAAACAGTATATTTATTTATTTACATCTGCCGGCCTGAATATTCGAGAAATCTGCGCCTTCGGACGGGATATGAACCTGCTTCTCTAAGGGGGAAACCGTTATTACGGCTGACGTGACTTGACCTCTCGGCCACGGAGAATCTCGTGGCCAAACAAACCCTGAATAGTATAATGTGTGTGTGTGAGCGGAAAAGTTTGCAAGGCTATATTGCTTTTATTTAAAAGAAAGAAAAAGAACGAATTATTTTCACAATTAATACAATCTGTAGTTTCCAAAAAAGAAAATTAATGCACAGCAAAAATTATTCCTACTCCCGTCACGCACACACACATAATCTTATCTCGCTTAACCAATTACGACTGAGTAGTGAGTACGATTATCACTAGGTGTCCCCTACTTGTTGTACTCTCCAGTCGTATTCGACGTATGTGTTTAAAGTAGCTCAGTTCTGAGGAACCAGAACATATGATTTGATTATAGTGGTGAAGGCTTTGTGCAGAATAAACAACACATTTTGAAGGGCCGAATACAGAGGACCTGGTGCAGTACGTGCCACAAGGTCCCCAAACAACCCTCCGCAGGTTTTGAATTCAGAGTTGTCCTTCTCCTAGACCAGTTACCATCCAAGTCTGTTCTGCTATTTACCCAAAAGAAAATAGAAAAAAAATTAACCTTTCCTAAGTGTATTAGCACGTAAGTGAATGTAATGGATTCGACTGGAATTCGAACTCGGCTCTCAGATTCATATATATATATATATATATATATATATATATATATATATATATATATATATATATATATATATATATATATATATATATATATATGATTGATAATATTATATATATATATATATATATATATATATATATATGATTGATAATATGATATATATATATATATATATATATATATATATATGATTGATATAGGATATATATATATATATATATATATATATGATTATATATTAGTGATATATATATATATATATATATATATATATGATTGATAATATTATGATATATATATATATATATATATATATATATGATTGATAATATATATATATATATATATATATATATATATATATATATATGATTGATAATATATATATATATATATATATATATATATATGATTGATAATATTAGTGATATATATATATATATATATATATATATATATATGATTGATAATATTAGTGATATATATATATATATATATATATATATATGATTGATAATATTAGTGATATATATATATATATATATATATATATATATATATAGTGATTGATATATATATATATATATATATATATATATATATTATAATATATGATATATATATATATATATATATATATATATATATATATATATATATATATATGATTGATAATATATATATATATATATATATATATATATGATATATTGATATATATATATATATATATATATATATATATATATATATATATATATATATATATATATATATATATATATATATATGATGGATAATGATTAGATATATATATATATATATATATATGATTGATAATATTAGTGATATATATATATATATGATTGATAATATTAGTAATATATATATATATATATATATATATAAATAAATTTCCAAGAGGATAAAATCCGGGTAGAGCTCAATGTCCAGGATAGAGAAAGGCTCAAACATTAATATCCCATGGTGTATGAGCCTTTTATATTATATATATATGTATATGCAAACTTATGTCATATATATATATATATATATATATATATATATGTTTCATTTTAGAAAACTGACAAGGCCCTGAGATTAAGATTTTCATTATATTTTTCTGTCATTTGTAAAATGAGACGTTTTTGGGACATAGTGTATGTAGCAACTGTTCAGACGATCCAAGCATTTTCGTCTAATCTTATTAGCCATTATCGGCGATGATTTTTTGTTTAGCAATATGAATGTTTCAATTCCTGAACACGGCTATGTTCATAACTGATGTTATTTTGAGTTGTTTTTATATCATTAACTTTTCCTATTTTATTACTAATAATAAAAAAGAAGAAACCAACTCTCAATACAATATCAAGTATGAACTTGGACACAGTATCCTGAACATGTTCTGGAATTAAGGCATTATTATTGGTTTAAAAAAGAAAGGCATATTAGAACAAACAAACAAACAAAAAAAAAAATCTACGATAACATTTAATAGATTAGCCGAAAGCGCTGGGATACTAAATATCTTTTCGACATATCTCACAATCTTTATTTGACAAAAAGAAATCTCTTCTGCGTAAGCAAGAAAATAAAAATATAAGGGTGGCATTCTTGCTCATATTCCCCCCACACACATGATTTATATATTTATATATATATATATATATATATATATATATATATATATATATATATATGATTTATCTTATTTTATAGGCGTGGAATTTTATTAATATTTTATTTTATCTGTTCCTATTCTATCTATTTCAGTCTATTCAGACCTATCTGTCTATTTAAATCTAATCAGATCTATCTATTCCAGTCTCTTCAGATCTATCTATCTGTTTTATCTATATATCTATTTCATTATATTCAGATCTGTCTATTCCACTCTATTCAGATCTGTATATATATTTAAGTCTATTCAGATCTATCTATATAAGTATATTCAGATCTATCTATCTATCTATCTATCTATCTATCTATCTATCTATCTATCTATCTATCTATCTATCTATCTATTTCATATCTATTCCAGTTTATTCAGATCTATCTATCTATCTATCTATCTATCTATCTATCTATCTATCTATCTATCTATCTATTTCATATCTATTCCAGTTTATTCAGATCTATCTATCTATCTATCTATCTATCTATCTATCTATCTATTTCATATCTATTCCAGTTTATTCAGATCTATCTATCTATCTATCTATCTATCTATCTATCTATCTATCTATCTATTTCATATCTATTCCAGTTTATTCAGATTCATCTATCTATCTATCTATCTATCTATCTATCTATCGATTTCCATATTCATTCCAGTTTATTCAGATATCTATCTATTCATCTATCTATTCATCTATCTATCATTCTATCTATCATCTATCTATCGATTTCATATCTATTCCAGTTTATTCAGATCTATCTATCTATCTATCTATCTATCTATCTATCTATCTATCTATCTATCTATTTCATATCTATTCCAGTTTATTCAGATCTATCTATCTCTCTATCTATCTATTTCATATCTATTCCAGTTTATTCAGATCTATCTATCTATCTATCTATCTATCTATCTATCTATCTATCTATCTATCTATCTATCTATCTATCTTTATGTATCTATTCTAGTTTATTCAGATCTATCTATCTATCTATCTATCTATCTATCTATCTATCTATCTATCTATCTTTATGTATGTATCTATTCTAGTTTATTCAGATCTATCTATCTATCTATCTATCTATCTATCTATCTATCTATCTCTATCTATTTTACTTCAAGCGAGGTTTTACATTTGTTAACAAAAAAGATATTGGATTATAATACGTATTTAACTTTTACATCAGAAATTGTAGTCGATTGTGATGATGTTTCGATGTTTATTGCCAGTTTTATCCGAACAATCTAAAAAGCAAAAATGACACGATGCACCCTTTCCTTTGAAAACATTACAGAAGAATACGAATTAAAGAATTGGAATCCAACGTAGAGAAATAAAAATGATTTCAAAATGAGTAACAACTCGGTAAAATTTTTAAAAAGTAAAGGGGAAAGCGATTTGTTTAAAATTAAGATTAAAAACAAAACAGCCTGCTTTTTATTTGTTATTAGATAGCGACGAAGGATTTCGAGGAAAAAATAGATACGGTCACTCATTATTTATTTTTTTTCTTTAAAAAAAAATCTCTGCTTTACAAAGGAAAGTAGGTAACATTTTGAAAAGGGAATTCTCTAGTGGCCTTTCTAATTACTTTTACAATTCTGCCTTCGGCCTGGACTTTGTTTTCGTCTAGATAAATAAACACACGCACACACACATCTCTAGAGATACACAACTTATTTTGCCATAAACGTATAGAATGGGGGTAGCAATATTCTTTTTGCGTTATTTACAGTCGAACTAATGTCCTTATTTTTGTTGCTTACAACGTTTCGACCGATGTGTCATCCGACCTTCTGGTGGAAATCAGCCTTGAGGATTAATTCGCGGATTTGTCGACATAGTAAATGTGAGTTAAAGCGATGGGTCGGTTAACTCAGTCTCGGTGGAAACAGGACAATGAATAACTGGGTGTTACTAAGAAAAACAAACAAACAAACCACAATGACGAGATATTCCTAGATACGGGTATCGTGGAACAATCCTTCCCGTAGCTTAAATGACGTTTATTTCGAAATTCCATGAGGATTACCCGTATGAAGAGAGAACAGGAAAAGTCCGAACACCACAATGGTCGAAACTTTGTCATGTTAATAAAAACAAAGAAGACATTAGACCGACTGTAAAATGTATAAATAAAGAGGTAAATATGAAAAAAAACAACCATAGATTTGAATAAAATTAGATATGAACAGTTAGCTTGCGAGCTACATAGATAGAAAGATATGAACAGAGGTAACTAGGCAGATGGAAAAATATGATAGACAGATAGAAATTAAGACTGACAGAGATAGATAGATAGATAGATAGATAGAAATTGAAACTTGCACAGTTAGATACATATTAAAACTGACAGAGATAGATTTAAATTCAAAGTAAAACTGACAGAGATAGAAAGATAGATGAGATCCTACATATAGATAGATAGATCAGATCTCCAACGATGAGATCTCAACAGATAATTAGATAGAAAGATGAGATTTCCACAGATAGATAGATAGATAGATAGATGAGATCTCCACAGATAGATAGATAGATAGATAGATAGATAGATAGATAGATAGATAGATCTCCACAAATAGATAGATCAGATCTCCAAAGATGCGATCTCAACAGATACATAATTAGCTAGAAAGAGGAGATCTAGACAAACAGTTAGATAGATAGATAGATAGATAGATCTCCACAAATAGATAGATCAGATCTCCAAAGATGCGATCTCAACAGATAGATAATTAGCTAGAAAGAGGAGATCTAGACAAACAGTTAGATAGATAGATAGATAGATAGATAGATAGATAGATGAGGTCTCCACAAATAGATAGATCAGATCTCCAAAGATGCGATCTCAACAGATAGATAATTAGCTAGAAAGAGGAGATCTAGACAAACAGTTAGATAGATAGATAGATAGATAGATAGATAGATAGATAGACGAGATGTCCACAAATAGACAGACAGATACACATCGAGAAAATGCGATAAACAGTGTACGATTAAAACATCTCGGCGTTTTCTTAGGTACCAAATTAATACAACTGTCGACTGAAGCCTCTTTTTTTTTACGGCACACAACACTTATTATTTTTCAAACAATTTTCTCCGCAGCACGATTATTTTGTTTTAGCAATCCGGCATTCCTCCCTTAAGTTATAAGTTGAAAACCTGCAAAGGACACTTTCATTTGTTACCAAGACATATATAGACAAACGTATATACAAAGAGAGAGAGAGAGGAGAGCGGGGGGAGTGAGAGAGAGAGAGTGAGAGAGAGAGAGAGAAAGCTACCAAAAATAAACTATATCCGCGAGTAATCAGGTATAGAAGCCGATGGAAGAGTACGTTGAATTATGTCCGGCTGCCGAGTGCCGATGCGTTACAGAACGAATGTGTGTAAAACAGTAGTAAAGTATTTGCTATTGCTATTTCCTGTGCGGTAGTCGGTGTGGGTGGGGGAGCGATCGTCAAGGAGTTTTAGCTAAGGTAACTACGGACAGCTTTCATATATTCGGGCTTAAAACTTCCGTAACCGGAGGCTGTGAGAGGCCGATCGATTAGATCTTAGAGAGGGAGAAAGAAATAGATAGATAGATAGATAGATAGATAGATAGATAGATAGATAGATAGATAGATAGAAAGTGAGAGAGAGAGAGAGAGAGAGGGGGGATTAGGGGGAGAGTGAGAGGGCGAAAAATAAATGCTAAATAGATATACAAGATGAAGAGAGAGATTTGAGGGATATAGACGCATACCGATAATATTTGTACTGTGCTACTACTACTACTACAACCACCACTACTACAATTACTACTACTACAACTACTAATGCAAGTGCGGATTATTTTTTTGTACATTATTCATACAAAATAGTAGAGATTAAAATTCCTTTTCAATGATGACTGTTTAGTAAGGAGTGTCACCACTACTGCACCAGGACAAGAGTTGTTTTTTTTTTAGTTTTTGTGACGAAGCGGGGTCCTTATCTTTCAGTTTTGACCCGTAAAAATGTATTTTAGTGTGTGTGTGTGTGTGTGTGTGTGTGTGTGTATCTGGTTTTAAATTTGATCAGAATAGTTGTCTAGTTAGAGTTTATCGTAAATGCCTTTTTTCTTTTATTAACATATATATATATATATATATATATATATATATATATTGAAAAGGGATGCAAACATACGACATAGCCTAACAAAGAAAAAACAAAATGTTTCCGTTTTATACTACAGATAATGATTTTTTCAACATAATCTCCTTCTTAATCAAGTTATTTAATAGTAAGTAGACCGAGCATTATACAGTGAAAGTTCAGATCAAAACTAAGTTAATAATTACGTGACAGGTAACGGATTTATTGATCGACACAGATAGATAGATAGATTTGTAAATAGACAGACAGAGATATAGATAGAAATGAAAATAGATTGATAGACAGAAAGTGATATATATATATATATATATATATATATAGATAGATAGAATTAAATCTACATAGAAAGAGAACTAAGATAGAAAGAAAGAAAGATGAATCGATAAAACTCTAGACAGATTGAAAGTAATCTAGATAGAAATCTAGGTAGATGGAAATAAATCTAAGATAGATATCTAGATAGATATAAAGGGATATAGATAGATAGATGGAGCGATAGATGGAGAGAGAGAGAAGGAGAGAAAGTGACTTACGTAGATAACTTTGAAAAAAAAAAGCCTATGATACATAGATACGTTGGGACCAAGAAACACGTGAACAGATATGAAAACTGGACCTCCCTACCGACCTGCCTATGTAAATAAATAAATAAAACGATTATATTGGTATAAATAGATAGAAATGAAATGACAAATGTAGAGACGGGAGATGGATACACTCAGGTAGTAGATATGAAGAGACCCTGATCGAGAATAAACAATATAGAGATCGCTATAGAGCTGGAACATCAGGCATAGACAGATATGAAAATATATAGATAGGAACAGGTTGACAAGTCAAAATCTTAATAATGCACGAGACAGACTTATATTGGATAGAAAAGAACATAATTAATAAAGGAGTGAGGGAGAGGGGGAAACATAAAAAAAAATAAAAATGAAAGAAAGAAATGTGTCCAACAACAAATCTCAAGCAGCCATACGCGTTTATTCCTTTTCTCGATATTGATTTTATATAAATTCAAAATCAAAATGAAAAAATAAAAAAAAAAATGCTAAAATAATTTATTAACGAGTTGGCACCTTTTTAACTATCAGAAAAAAAATACGTAATTTGAGATATTTTTCATGAACGAAAATTTAATGATGATTTCTGTTTTAATTCTTATCTTTGATTATGAAATCAATATTTGTGGTTATTGATCTGTGTTAATATTAAGACTTCGTTTATTCATATCTATCGATTCATATTGGTCTTTAAAATCAACATCTTGTTCTGTTCTAAATCTATCTATCTATCTATCTATCTATCTATCTATCTATCTATCTATCTATCTATCTATAAGCTGAGATCTATCTATCTATCTATCTATCTATCTATCTATCTATCTATATATATATCTATAAGTTGAGATCTATCTATCTATCTATCTATCTATCTATCTATCTATCTATCTATCTATCTATGAGTTCTATCTATCTATTTATCTATCTATCTATAAGTTGAGATCTATCTATCTATTTATCTATCTATCTATAAGTTGAGATCTATCTATCTATTTATCTATCTATCTATAAGTTGAGATCTATCTATCTATCTATCTATCTATTTATCTATCTATCTATAAGTTGAGATCTATCTATCTATCTATCTATCTATCAGTTGAGATCTATCTATCTATCTATCTATCTATCTATCTATCTATCTATCTATCTATAAGTTGAGATCTATCTATCTATCTATCTATAAGTTGAGATCTATCTATCTATCTATGAGATCTATCTATCTATTTTATCTATCTATCTATAAGTTGAGATCTATCTATCTATCTATCTATCTATCTATATCTATCTATCTATCTATCTATCTATCAGTTGAGATCTCTTCTGTCTGTCCATCATTAGAGAATTATCTATTCATTTATTTGTGAAATTCTCATCTATCTATACAACAATCTGTGTACTGTCGTCTGTCTGGCACAATTTGCAATAAACTCCAATGAACTCTACTCACAGCGCATAGAGAATGAAAAGTAAAAATAGCAAATGAATTTATTTAAATCACCCATATTCGTTCAGGACAGTAAATAAAATATTAGCTTCTCCATACCCAAAAGTTTTTGTTTGTTTTTTCTTGCATGGGGCAAATTTGATCGTAGTTGGAAGGGACAACTCCTGTTTTTTCGCATGTAAAATACTCTGTCTAAAAAAATCCTATCCTGTTTGTCGTGGCGAGTAGAGCCGGGCAGAGGCACAGATCTAAGAAAGGACAACAAGTGATAAATAAATTTCACATAACAACGCTTTGTGTGTGCGCCTGTGTGTGTATCTCTGTGTTCGTGTGAGCGTATTTGTGTTCGTGTGTGTTCATGTGTGTGTGTGTGTGTGTGTGTGTGTGTGTGTGTGTGTGTGTGTGTGTGTGTGTGTGTTCGCCCACGCCTGCTTTTTTTCTTCGTGTGTGTGTGTGTGTTTGTCCTTGGTTATCTACCGAAATTAGGCGAGGAAGGGTTGAGTCAACCTTGTTTAATCCCAGGCCGAAAGTGGGTGTGTGCATACATTCAATCAGGGTGACAATTTGCCTACATTCTGCTCAAGACTAGGGTCAGGTCTCTAGCCCGCTTGCTTGATTGCCTACATTGTGGCTGTGATAAGCTATTTGTTTCCATCTCTGGTGCTAGTGTTCGAAATCTGGTAAAATATTTATATTTTAAGGCAGGCTCTCGCCACTTATTGACGAGCAGCGACTAACTTTTTCTTTCTTTTTTTTTAAAATGCTATTCACCTTCAGGACAAAAGGCAGTTATGACTCTCCAAAGATTTCTTTTGTTTATATGAATTACTATGAATTCTTGAAGAATCTTTTGTTTGTTTCTTTGTTTAACGGTATAAATGGCCTAATGGGTCATTTAATTCCGAAATTTAATTTTCTTGGGAGCCTGAGTATCTTTTTTTTCTATTTACAAAAATCTATTGCTGGTAGTTTATTTATTTATATTTTAGTCTACACTTTTATTTTTGTATTTTTTATCATGTTTAGGTGTTTACTATTTACCCACCGCTGGGACCTTACCTGTTGCTACCACCCCGGCTCAGGGTGAACCTGACCATAACATCAATTAAGAGGTCGTTCCACGCTTGGCAAAACCTCCAGATCAGTGGTCTTGCTGATGGATGTAGTTTATCGTCATACCCAGGACAAAATACTTGAAGATAGTCGAGTGGTTTCCCGTTGTCCTCCCCACGGTTTGGTATTTAGTGTTCTCCTTGTCTTGGACGGGTTGCCACTCAAGTCCTGAGAGTTCAGTCTACCCTTCTAACTTACCTATAAGACCTACGATGGATTTGAACTCAGCTCCCCGATTTCATTTTCCGCGCCGATATCCGTTACTGGCACTACTAAGACAAATACCCGGATGGAATAAATAAATACCCATTAAAAAGTGTTGGGACTTAAGTTTCTGTTGTGACCAAGTAATTGGTTAAGAAATAACAAGACAAGAGGTTGCAGATAAAAAGGGTATTGAAAAACGACTTTGGTCTCGCCAGGAGATAAGTCGATCCACGTAGTTGCGAATCTACGAAGCCATGGTCAGAACGATTCTTCTCTATGGTTGTGAGACCTGGCCACTGCGCAGAGAGGATCTTTATAAGCTTGAGGTCTTCGGTCACTACTGCCTCCGCCGTATCCTGCGCGTGCGCCTCTCCAACCGGATCCCCAAACTCGTCCATCCGCGCCAGATGCAACATTCTGGGCCTGGAAGAAACTCTACTTAACAGGAGACTCCGGTGGTTCGGCCACGTGCTGCGGCGGCCTGGCGATGAGTTCGTCCGTAAACTGGTGGCGCCAAACGCAACCACTGGTTGGAAGAAGCGCCGAGGTGGTCAACTCAAGACGTGGCTCGCAACGGTCAAAGCAGATATGGAACTCATGTCCGGTCCTCGCGTTTACGGGGTCCGATGCTGGAATCGCAAATGGCTCGATCATGCTGTCGATTCTGCTGCCGATCGACGGGGGTGGATGGCCTTGACGCGAGATGCGGTTAATTCAATTGGAGCCTGCTCAACCCACCCCAGGTGAATGCCGTTACAAGACAACAAGAGGTGTATTGAACAGTAAATACAACAGAAGAGTGTTACACGACTTGGGAGTGAGTGTCGGTTGACCAGTGTTCAGTTTATATCACCTTTATATTCAATGAACAACGGGAGAACATGTGGCACAAGGCCGAGTTTACCGTGGGTCATCCGAGCTCGTAGGCTCGGCCAAAAAAATCCCCGTAGAACCCGCATAAACGGGTTCGGGTCTGTCTACCTCCCCGGACGAAACTGTCCTTCGGCACAGCCTCGTCCGGGTTCCT